CCACCTATCTCTCAAATGGACCATTGACACTCCTAATTGAGATTGTAGATAGAGTGTCAATGGTCCATTTGATTAGATAGGTGGCGGTAATGCACTTATAAGTCTGTGATCCGCCGTAAAGCAAGAAGACGACGACGACGCCTCATGCGCCTGCTGTTGAGAACTCGCTCAGGAGGATGCGCTGCCGCTTAGGACCGTTCGGACATTGCGTGAATCAGAGGTAAAAAAATATATAAATACTGTTCAGTTTCTTGCACAGACCGATCATTTTGTGTCTTTACACATCAATGTATCGTTAATTTGGTTTTGTTTGTGTATGTTTTTTTTACTCTCAAAGCAGTGATTCCCATTCACCTCCATTATATGACTGACAGACTGCAACGGTTTGTGTTAAAAATCTTCGTTTGTGTTCTACTGAAGAAACAAAGTCACCTACATCTTGGATGCCCTGGGGGTAAGCAGATAAACATCACATTTTCATTTTTGGGTGAACTATCCCTTTAAGTTTATATACATTAAGTGTTGGTTTAGTCAATCATTAGAGCAAACTCAACTTAAAGATTTTAAGTTTATTTCACTCAGTCAGTTTGAATTCAGGTAACAAAAGTCTTAACAACTATATAGTTACTTAAATGGTTTGAGGAAACCGATTGCCTTAAATGGTTCACGTCCTTCAAACTCAAAGTAATAAAGTTACATAAGACTAAGCAAAAAATAACATTGGTACAAAGAAATGCTGACAGAACAGGAGGGCATTCTTAAGTGTTTATTGAAATGCAACATTTACTTCAAGATGTTTTCAAACATAAAACAAAATCAGTTGACTTTATAGTCAAAAATATAACATTTAAACAATCTTATCAGACATTTCACCAAATAAGTCAAGACTGCACAAGCAAGGAAATGTTTAAAAATTAGTGCAAAAAAACCCCGCACCAGTGCACTGACCCAACACTTGGCAGACATCATCTCATCTTCAAATGCAATCAAAACATCCATTGGGGTTAAAGACAATGTTCACTCTTCAGTGATGGTGACTGCTGCCTTCTGCACCTGATCAGGCTCCTTTTTCTAAATGCAGTGGGGAAAAAAATAGTGTATGTCATAACATCATAAAAAAATACCCTTATGAGGGCAGACACCATATTTAAGTTTTCATAAATGACAAAGGTGTGAAGGATCGGAGCCTTCACATTTGAGCTTCCATTTACAATATATCCTGTGATCTACAAGAGTGCATTGTTCAATGTTTAAATGTGAATAAAAGCCTAAATTAAAGTTCTTTTGAAGTTTGAAAATAAAGATTGCCTAGACTTTCAACGGATAGACAAAAACAACGAATGTCAAAAAAATGTATGACAAAATGAATCATGACAGAATTTTCATTTTTAAGTGGACTATTCATTTAAGACAACTTGATTGCTCAATTATTCAGTCTCTCTACCCGAGCCATGCATTTATTCTGATGTCAGCTAAAAGGTTAAAATGTTGCTAAGTAAATATAATGTTGTCCTGACGTGTGTCCTTATAACCTGTGTGTCTTGAAAACATCTGCTGGCTCTTCTTTTCGGATAGTAATAGATCTGCCAGTGTGAATGGTATCAATGCCATTATTGTCCTTAAAGACAAAACACAAAATTAGGGTAATTGAACTCTTATTTTTCATCTGGGCAGTGTATGAATAAGATAGATATATGCATTTATTATATAATATTTTAGTTATTTAGTTATGAAAGATATAAATATAATAATCCAGAGCCCTACGCTACACAAACGTGATTTCTTGGGAATCAATATTTAAAAGAAATTATTAAACATTAAGTAAGCTCAAATTTCTTTGAAATATTTTGTGATCAAAATACGTAGACCTAATAGTAGATTAAATGGTTTTAACTTTAATCATTAGTAAAAATATTTTTTTTGTAAGTTATTCAGATTGAGTTCTGCTTAATATAATTCGTTTTTGAGTTCACATCAGAAATATTTCTTGAGTTGAATTAACTTTTTAAAACTTTTTTCATGTAGTGATTTTCACTGTTAGGTTTTACAGTGTATAGATACATATATCTACCGTTCGACCATAAATATCATATTCTTTGTAGAGTAGGAAGTTCTTCAATGCAGGGGGGAAAGGAACGGTGCTCATGAACTCTGGGTCATTCAGTCGTCTCAGTGTCATACATCTCCTGATAACCAACCTGGCCTGGTGTTTCAGAGGGCGAGGGTTTGCTAATAACAAATAGACGTAAAGACATTTTTAATTTTTTTTCATACAGGTTAGGAATGACATGAATAGTAAACGGAAGTGCCTTACTGAGGGTTGCCTCATGCGCCTGCTGTTGAGAACTCGCTCAGGAGGATGCGCTGCCGCTTAGGACCGTTCGGACATTGCGTGAATCAGAGGTAAAAAAATATATAAATACTGTTCAGTTTCTTGCACAGACCGATCATTTTGTGTCTTTACACATCAATGTATCGTTAATTTGGTTTTGTTTGTGTATGTTTTTTTTACTCTCAAAGCAGTGATTCCCATTCACCTCCATTATATGACTGACAGACTGCAACGGTTTGTGTTAAAAATCTTCGTTTGTGTTCTACTGAAGAAACAAAGTCACCTACATCTTGGATGCCCTGGGGGTAAGCAGATAAACATCACATTTTCATTTTTGGGTGAACTATCCCTTTAAGTTTATATACATTAAGTGTTGGTTTAGTCAATCATTAGAGCAAACTCAACTTAAAGATTTTAAGTTTATTTCACTCAGTCAGTTTGAATTCAGGTAACAAAAGTCTTAACAACTATATAGTTACTTAAATGGTTTGAGGAAACCGATTGCCTTAAATGGTTCACGTCCTTCAAACTCAAAGTAATAAAGTTACATAAGACTAAGCAAAAAATAACATTGGTACAAAGAAATGCTGACAGAACAGGAGGGCATTCTTAAGTGTTTATTGAAATGCAACATTTACTTCAAGATGTTTTCAAACATAAAACAAAATCAGTTGACTTTATAGTCAAAAATATAACATTTAAACAATCTTATCAGACATTTCACCAAATAAGTCAAGACTGCACAAGCAAGGAAATGTTTAAAAATTAGTGCAAAAAAACCCCGCACCAGTGCACTGACCCAACACTTGGCAGACATCATCTCATCTTCAAATGCAATCAAAACATCCATTGGGGTTAAAGACAATGTTCACTCTTCAGTGATGGTGACTGCTGCCTTCTGCACCTGATCAGGCTCCTTTTTCTAAATGCAGTGGGGAAAAAAATAGTGTATGTCATAACATCATAAAAAAATACCCTTATGAGGGCAGACACCATATTTAAGTTTTCATAAATGACAAAGGTGTGAAGGATCGGAGCCTTCACATTTGAGCTTCCATTTACAATATATCCTGTGATCTACAAGAGTGCATTGTTCAATGTTTAAATGTGAATAAAAGCCTAAATTAAAGTTCTTTTGAAGTTTGAAAATAAAGATTGCCTAGACTTTCAACGGATAGACAAAAACAACGAATGTCAAAAAAATGTATGACAAAATGAATCATGACAGAATTTTCATTTTTAAGTGGACTATTCATTTAAGACAACTTGATTGCTCAATTATTCAGTCTCTCTACCCGAGCCATGCATTTATTCTGATGTCAGCTAAAAGGTTAAAATGTTGCTAAGTAAATATAATGTTGTCCTGACGTGTGTCCTTATAACCTGTGTGTCTTGAAAACATCTGCTGGCTCTTCTTTTCGGATAGTAATAGATCTGCCAGTGTGAATGGTATCAATGCCATTATTGTCCTTAAAGACAAAACACAAAATTAGGGTAATTGAACTCTTATTTTTCATCTGGGCAGTGTATGAATAAGATAGATGTATGCATTTATTATATAATATTTTAGTTATTTAGTTATGAAAGATATAAATATAATAATCCAGAGCCCTACGCTACACAAACGTGATTTCTTGGGAATCAATATTTAAAAGAAATTATTAAACATTAAGTAAGCTCAAATTTCTTTGAAATATTTTGTGATCAAAATACGTAGACCTAATAGTAGATTAAATGGTTTTAACTTTAATCATTAGTAAAAATATTTTTTTTGTAAGTTATTCAGATTGAGTTCTGCTTAATATAATTCGTTTTTGAGTTCACATCAGAAATATTTCTTGAGTTGAATTAACTTTTTAAAACTTTTTTCATGTAGTGATTTTCACTGTTAGGTTTTACAGTGTATAGATTCATATATCTACCGTTCGACCATAAATATCATATTCTTTGTAGAGTAGGAAGTTCTTCAGTGCAGGGGGGAAAGGAACGGTGCTCATGAACTCTGGGTCATTCAGTCGTCTCAGTGTCATACATCTCCTGATAACCAACCTGGCCTGGTGTTTCAGAGGGCGAGGGTTCGCTAATAACAAATAGACGTAAAGACATTTTTAATTTTTTTTCATACAGGTTAGGAATGACATGAATAGTAAACGGAAGTGCCTTACTGAGGGTTTCACAGATATCAGGCCACTCCTCTTGTCTCTCCAGAATGCATTGCAGTTTAGAGCAGATGTCCACGTGATTCACGTAATCTAGGAGTGTCTGCACCACCCTCCCCGCCAAATGCGCCATCCATGCCACGCTAATAAACTCGCAAAACTTCAAACACAGAACAGAGTGCATAATTAGGCCACATATAAATATAGACATTAACTAAGAACGAATTGCGACCTCTTTTTGCATTGTTACAGTGATCACAATAAAATCCACACACACACACACACACACACACAAAAAAAAACGATAACAGCTCAAAATTTATTGTGACAATACATTCTTTAAGAAACCTAATTTACACCGATATGAGATGGGTTTTAAATGTTTAAGTTGCAGTGCTATATCAGCACAGGTAGTGGCTGGTTACGCTGGTTTTTAAGTGGTTATTGAATAAGACGCATAAGGCCCAACACCGCACCATTGTTTTCTTGACCCCAAACATGATGCTTTAGAGTCACTTTGTTCAGATTGCTCTTGATTTGAGTTCACTATAAAGCCTCTCATTGCAATGTTTATTGCGTTTTCAGGTGTTTAGTGAATAAGACTTATTAGTGAATAAGTGCTGCAACTGTTAGTGAATTCACCACTTTGTTTTCTAGACCCCAAACATGATTCTTACGGTTACTTTATTCGTATCGCTCCTGATTTGGTACGACTGGCTAGCAGCCTCTGTTGTTACCCAGTTGTCATGGTAACACTCAAAGCAGCTTTCTGCATGGTAACCGTTGTTAAGGAGTAGGCGCAGCATCATTTCATCTTTGAGGCAATATTGCAATGCCGTAGGAAATATGGTGTCACTGATGACAGAGAAGACGCAGTTGACGTCCGCCCCATAGGCGAGAAGCAGCGACACCAGCTCGTACTTCTCAGCTCTGACCGCCACCAGGAGGCAGCGCAGAGGGTCCAGATCCGGCTTCGCACCTGATTTCAGAAGCATCTTGGCGCAGGTGACGTCTCCATTGCAGATGGCGAAGTACAGTGGGGTCTTCCTCATGTCACCGTAGTTTTCGGAAATGTGGCAGCCCAGGATTGGGTTGACGTCAAAACCTTTCTTGATGAGCAGCTCAAGACAGTCTGCATGGCCTCCGTCTGCCGCAGAATGAACCGGACTCATCCCACACAGACGGATGACCTTCCTATTGGTGATGGGAATTAACTTCTTCAGGGCCCTGTCCGTTTAAAGAGAGAGAATATAATTATTATTGCAGAGTTGTTTGGTGAAGTGTGGCGAGATTGATTTGCTGTGCTCTCACAGGTAGCGCCCCTCGTAGGCTGCGCGGTGAATCGGCAGTTGAGAGCAAAGACTGGCTACATTAGGATTAGCACCATATTGTAAGAGTAGATCAATACAGTCCAGGTTCCCACAGCCTGCGGCGTCATATATCACACTGTCTCCATTTGTAGCTTGTGCTGTGACGTCGCCCCCTAAAGGTGAGAGCAAAGACATTCCTTTTGGGGGAATGAACCTTTAAATGCCTTATAGTTGAGACTGCATATTTAATCAAATGATTCATTTTGTACAAATCTTAATAGAAGTAAATAGAATACATTATTTTAAACATGGCAAAAAGGCCTGTACTGACTATTTATGCATTTTTAACCTAAATCACAGCAGCATCCATCTATGAAAATAGCCTATTACACCTGAATTGTTTTTTTTATGTAAAAGTCTTGATAACATTATAAGTGGACCTCAGAGAACAGTACAAAATAATAATAAAAAGGCAGTTCATGACCCCTTTAAAACTTTATAGTTATAATTACCATTATAGTTCTCATGCTTGGTGTGAATGTGCCTTAATTAGGGTTGCAAAGGGGCAGAAAAGTTTCCCAAAAAAGATCCCAGAAAGTTTGCAAAAATTCTGGGAAGTGTCCGGAAATGTTCTGCTCTTGTAACACTAGCCTTTACGTATGCAGCGCGCCAAGCAGAAAAAAATGCCACTTCCTTTATTTATGCATTATTTATTTCGTGCTGGTCGATTTAAAATTCGCAATTTCCAGATTTTTATGCATGACATTTTATTAATAATTAGCTAAACTAAGTAAATTTGCACACCAGTAAAAAAGATCATTTATAGTATTTATCACCAGTAGGTTACATTTTAAATCTGATCCATTTTTGTTATTTAATATTAACTAAATACATCATTTACTATAGGGACGGATCTAGAGTTGATTCTTGGTCAGACTTGCATACACCTGACTTACCATGTTGGATAAGGATTGCCAGTATTTCCAGATGACCGTACTCTGCGGCGATGCCCATCGGTGTGACCCCATGCCCGTCCCGTCCCATCACCTTCCCCCCGTGTCTCAGCAACAGCATCAGGATGTCCACGCAACCCACCTTAGCAGCCTCATGGGTGGCCGTCCACTTCTTCAAACACAGCTGCCTCACGAAGGCGCCACCCCTTATCAGTTCATATGCCATTTCATAAGACTTTACCCTCACAGCTGCAAAGGGAAATGTGGTATATGATCTAGTATAAAACGCAAAACCAAGCATTTTCATGTACTTGTACAAAACCACAATACACTTTCTTTCTTTCTTACATTCACAAGCCGGTGACACTACTGGTGTGATGTGATTTAATCCTATTTTTATAAAGTTGTGCTTAAACTGGCATAGGACAAAGTGCAATTTTGTATGAGGTGGTGAATTTAATATAATCTGTCAAAATTCTGGGTTACATTTAACCCCAAAGTAAGAAATTGAATCTGGCATAAAACGCTATTTAATGGGGATGTCCCGATCCGATCCGACTCGAGTCATAGTATATTGAGTATCTGCCGATACGGAGTCCCGATCCAATACTTGTATATTCCTATAGGAATGTATGTTTGGTGCACACTTCAAGTACATTAGAGTTATTAAATTCAATCCAATGTATACAGATTTGTGCAGAGAGTAATCGGTTAAAAAAAATGCTTGTTTGGCCCTGATCCTTGAGATCAGCTCGGGACATCCCTAATATTTAATAACATTATTTTAGGATCATTTATGTTTTTGGCTTTGACAATATTTTGTGCCAATTAAAGGCATATAACCCAATTCTCAGTTGCCAACTGTAATGTGGAGAAAAACAAAAACTTATTTCAACTGTATAAAGTACAGTATTTGTACATTATTTTGTTGTGCTAAAGTAATGCTGATTTCTACATAATTTGAATAAGATTTATTGAGAAAAATGTTTTCTATTTTGTCCATACAAGATAATTTTCATCACTTTATTACATTTATGAGAATCACATTAAGTTGGGTAAAATGTGTTTAATTGTCATGAGAATAATGCCACAATGCAAAAAATATTAAACTGTTATTCATAATATTAATAATAATATATTAATGATTAAATCTTTTTATTAATGCCAAATACAATTTCTTGCTTTTTTAATTTATTATTTTCTTATGTTAGGGGAAATAAAGTTCTGTCATTTATTCATGAGATTCACCTGGTGAAGTAATGAAATTGTAATCTAAATAACTTTTGTTTATAATGATCTGCTTAAAGGGACAGTTCACCAAACAGTTGACGGTAGCCATTGACTTCCATAGTGTTTTTTTCCATACAATGGTAGTCAATGGCTACCGTCCACTGTTTGTTTACCAACATTCTTTAAAATATCATCTTTTGTGCTCAAAAGATGAACGAAACTTGGAGCGTGATCATTTTAATTTTTGGGTGAACTATCCCTTTAATTGCTTATTGAGAGCTCCAACAAGAGACAAGACTAATTTGATGATGTTTTTGTTGTAATACCCAGGAGTAGTGGAGTCTCGTTCCTGCTGTTCGTGTTGTGTGGAGATGCTCCACGTTGGAGAAGAACCTTTACGCTCTCCACATGCCCTGCTTGACAAGCCAGTGTCAGAGCGGTGTCTCCATCAGACGTCATCTCCTCCATGCTCAGCTCATGAGATGCTATCCAGGAAAAAAAGATGCCAGTATATATACTTCTGCCTTATATCGAACTGTTATGTGTACTTTACCACAGACATGATTCTGCTCACCCAGGAGGACGCAATCCAACAGACAGACATCAGACTGGACAGACGCTCTGTGCATCGGAAGCCAACCTCTGCTGTCTCTTTCCTTATAGGCAGCACTGTACCTGTGCAGTTGCCTCAGTGCAAACACGTCATCTGAATAATTTTACACACCCATATGTGGAATATCATGCCATTGGGAAATCAAACTAGAGCATTGATATTTAGGCACACGTATGAACAGTGTTGGGGGTAACGCATTACAAGTAACGTGAGTTACGTAATCCGATTACTTTTTTCAAGTAACTAGTAATGCATTACTTTTTAATTGACGAGAATATTTGAGTTACTTTTTCAAATAAGTAACGCAAGTTACTTTTTTTCCCTCAATTTATTGATTGACAGCTCTCCTGTCCCCATGTTGAGAGAAATCAGAAGATGTTACTGTAGTTCTAAAATAAATATGAATATGCATTAATTCATCTCACTCACACAAAAACACAGATTCAGTATTCCTCAAAATGAATAAAAATAATGCAACTCAGAATATGACGCAAACCTGCCATAATTAAATGTTAAACAACACAAATATCCTTTATGTATTTAATCCCATTCTATTAACCAATGTCTTTGCTTCTGACCTTCGATGACCCCGTTCAACCGTACTAATAAGAAAAACTTACTCTAGACAAACATTTGTGTCTTTTTTTATTGCTGAAGTGTGTTCTACTGTATGGACGTAAATTTACTTTGCCTTGAGCCTGAGGCTTATTCATTTCACTTTTGGGCTTTTATAATTGCCAAAAATAGAACTTTTTATTAAAAAAAAAAAACAAGCAAGCCCTGTCCAGATTTAAAAAGTAATGCATAAGTAACATAACGCATTACTTTCCATAAAAAGTAACTAAGTAACCTAATTAATTACTTTTTTTATGGAGTAACGCAATATTGTAATGCATTACTTTTAACAGTAACTTTCCCCAACACTGCGTATGAAGTACCTTGATCTATTGCAGATAAAATCTTGAGGTTTTCATCACTAGCTGTTTCTAAAGTCCTGCATGAGAGAATGTGTGAGACTAAAACATACCTTTGTTTGAATATTTCATTCTACAGAGGTTCTTCTTAAAATGATTTCTGCAGAGATGAAACAGTGGAATTCATCATATAAATAAACAGTGATCTACTGTGGGAAATAATTGGGTGATTTACAAAATTATAAAATCTTGCAGTTTGCTTCACAAAGGTAAGTCAACTTTTGTTTGTCTTAGGAATACAAATGAAGATTCTCTTTATTAAACTCTTAATTTTTTTCCAGTATAAAATCACAAAAGCTAAAACAAAAAGAGGTATGAAAATGTTGATGCGCAGGGAATCATTATGTGCTTATGAAATTCTTGGTTCAAATCTTGCTATTTTTTAAATTTGAGTGTAAAAAATGATAAAACTTGAAGCTTTAATTTAACATGCATAGCTCATTGGCTCAAAAAGTAAAATATTGTGTTTTATGCATGGAGTCTTTTGTTCAAAACCTATTGCATTTAAGACGAAACTCAATAAAACCATGTCCACAAACACTTTTTAAGTTGTGTTTTAATCCTGAAGTCAAATCCCAATATTGCTTATGTTAAATTGTTTCAGCAATTGCATATTGCAATTGAATCTGACGAAGTCGATGTTGTTTTGAATGTTTTTTTTCTTTTTTGCGTTATACGGTGGAAAGCTTTTAGCAATTGTCGGATTTGAACATCCAGCTCAACATAGATCTACTGTGGGAAATAATTGGGTGATTTACAAAATTATAAAATCTTGCAGTTTGCTTCACAAAGGTAAGTCAACTTTTGTTTGTCTTAGGAACACAAATGAAGATTCTCTTTATTAAACTCTTCATTTTTTTCCAGTATAAAATCACAAAAGCTCAAACAAAAAGAGGTATGAAAATGTTGATGCGCAGGGAATCATTATGTGCTTATGAAATTCTTGGTTCAAATCTTGCTATTTTTTTTAATTTGAGTGTAAAAAATGATAAAACTTGAAGCTTTAATTTAACATGCATAGCTCATTGGCTCAAAAAGTAAAATATTGTGTTTTATGCATGGAGTCTTTTGTTCAAAACCTATTGCATTTAAGACAAAACTCAATAAAACCATGTCCACAAACACTTTTTAAGTTGTGTTTTAATCCTGAAGTCAAATCCCAATATTGCTTATGTTAAATTGTTTCAGCAATTGCAGATGTTGTTTTGAATGTTTTTTTTCTTTTTTGCGTTATACGGTGGAAAGCTTTTAGCAATTGTCGGATTTGAACCAAGAACTCAACATAGCGAATTTCTCTCGTTCAGTGACTCACGCGCTGTTTAGCAAATCAATCGGTAGTTGTTGTGTTTCATTTATAATCTCTGCTCGAACAGTAGCTTGAAGGAAACTGATTGATACAGCATTACAGAAGTTTAATAGAAGCTGCAGTGTTTTATAAATATGCAATGTTAATATATTTCTCTTATTACCTGTTTTTAGTCTTGAGATGCAGTATGTCTGATAATGTCTGTGTTTGTGTCGTGTCTCTCCAGAATAAGTGATGTGTTGTTGGCTGTAAAGTGGTCCGGCTGAAGCAGAGCTCTGGGACGTGTGGACAGACATTGACTGTAATGATGGACATCTGCTCAGGGACAGGTAATGTATCTCGTGTGAATGTGTGTTCTAGTGCACTAAACATGGAGGTTACCAGCATTTGCTTTTTGGAGGGCCTTCCTTTGAGAAGCAAATGATGGTAACCTAAGCTGATGGGGAAGGGACGGGGGGTGAGAATTTTTATGTGGCTTTATTTATTTTTTCAGTCTGTGCAAAAGTATAACCACTGCGGGTCACGGTGCTGGAAGCTCCAGGGGGAGACCGTACTGATATCCCCCTTCTTCAGGCGCGCCTTCACACACTCCAGCATTCACTCGTATCGCAGAGACCCGGCTGGGATCAAACCAGCAACCTCTGAACCCGTGAGGCAGCGCTCTTACCTGCGAGCCACAGGTCTCTTACTGGAGCACATGAAGGAACTTATATCTGACTGTTTACCTGTGATTTCCCAATAAAGATGTTGAAGGAAGCTCTGTCTGGGATTTAAACCCACGTCTCCGTCACAGACTCATCTTCAGAGGACGTGTGTTCATCCACTGACCCATCATGAGCTCTTCATTGTGTTTTGGCGTTTGAGTGACTTTGTTGGCTGAGATTGAGTTAAAGTAAGCAATAGTGGGATTTGAACTCAGATCTCCCAAATTAAAACACAGCTTTAGCTCCTGAGCCACAGAGCCTGCTGCTTTTTCTGAGAGCTTTGTTCTAAATGATGAATAACTTTAATGACTGTGAGATTTGAACCCTGACTTTCATGTTTGCAATTGAAGCTTTTAACCACTGAGCCACAGAAGTTGTGAGGTCTGTGTTTTTCTGGTCATAGACTGAGTAAAAAGCATTCATGACATCTGTGGGATTTCAACACATCTCTGGTGCAGGTTGATGTGAAGTCACGTGTTCAGCCTCTGCACAGCTGCGCTTTAGTAGCTCTCAAAGTTTTATCTTGTTTGAATCTCATTTTAAGTGATAAAAGGATGGATTTGATCCAGTAATGTCATAGCCAAAGGTGAACAATTATCCACTGTATCACAGTGACTGAGCTGAAAACATTTAGTTTTTGGTCTTTTACAGTAGAATATATTACTATCAGTTAGATTTTTTGTAGTTTAAACCTCAAGACTTTGTGCCTCTCGTTTAAATATTAAGATTGTCACCATCACAAACACTCAACTACTGTCCTTGATAATCACTGACACTGCAAGAACTGTGAATTTAAAATCCAGAGCTGTTATTATCCGGCTAAACAATATATACACTAATTTATATACTTTATACACTAATTGGCCACAAAAGAGAGGTGAACACATATTTTCACTTAATTAGCAGGGGTTTTTCTGTTATGATAGAAACTAAAGTACCTGCCACTGTCATAGGTGTGTATTGGAAATAAAATATTGGTTGAATATTTAAATATTCGTAAAAAGTCTTGATAAATATCAGCATGTCCTGAGACTCTCTGAGAGGTTTGAGGATGTTTGGTAGTTACAGAGACTAGTTGACCGACCAAAGATCACATGAGGCTCATGAGAAGATCAGAGCCTCAGTCACAAGTGTGAGTGTCGCCCTCAAATCTTGTGCATGTTAAAATGATGAAATAAGACAAAAGTCCCAAAAAAAAAAAAAAAGGCAACACAGGTTTGCTGGTAGTTTAGTGGTCTGAGAAGATCATGGTTTGAATCTTGCTCTTGTGGTGGAAAAATGCTTCAGTTTCACTGGTTTTGCCTGAAAAACTAAGATGAAAACAGCCTGGTCATCACAGAAGTGTGGTTGTTGGGATGCTTGTCTGATCAAGATCTGGGGGATCTGTGAGCTGCGTGTAACTGAGACTGATCTTCTCACGACCCTCATGTGATCTTTGGTCAGTCATCTGTAACTACCAAACATCCTCACTAAGTCTCAGGGCATGGTGACATTTATCAATCCTTATTATGAACATTTAAATATTCAATCGGTATTTTATTTCTACTACTCAAAGCTAAAATGCTGGCTATGACAGTGGCTGTTGCAGTACTTTAGTTTCTATTAATTAAGTGAAGATATGTGTTCACCTCTCTCTTGTGGTCAATCAGTGTATCAGCATTAATCAGTGTCACAGTCGTAGATGAGAAGACTTATTTAAGACTCAAAGGAGGTTTTTGTCACTTAAACTGGAATCAGAGGAAAGTTACTGCCTATATTTCTATATCTATAATTTCTAAAAAATAATCAATCTTGTTTTAAATTATTTTGCGTTGATTTAAAATTGTTTTATAAATGATTGATGACTGAATTATTGAAAAAACTTGAAAAAATGATTTCCTAAAATAAATAATATTTTTAAACCTCTAGTAAGAGAAACTAAACCACCCTCCTGTGGTGAATATTAGGTATTATACTGCTGCAACCAATTTAAGACTTCATTTACAACGATTTGATTTATATATGTCAAATATTTCCAAAAAGCATGTTTAATAGTGCCAGCGCTAGAATACTTTTAAGGAACAAAGTACAATAGTGTTGTTGTGGCATTGAATTTGTACAATATTTTTTATTCATTTTGTTCAAACAAATTTACATTGTTTTAAAAATAGTAATTTAAAATGTACATTAGTATTAGTATTATTATTTAAGCAGACAAATTTAATTTTAAGAGATTAGTTTCGAGATGTAATAGATCATTTTAAAAACTCAACTTCGAGGGCGCAAAAAAGTTATTTAAAGTTTAAATGTAGAACCTATTTACAATGACTTGATAAAATAATGCTCTATTAATAATATAAGAAAAAATAATTTAATATTTAAAACTTAGATAATACTTGGCTAAAAGAAAGAACAAATTAGCCAAATAATATTTAATAAACAGTTAACTTTTATTATTATGCTTTAAACGACAGATACAGAACAATACAATGTAAAGAAAATGTTGAACAGGATAGAATTTATGAATTATTTTGAAAAGTTTGTAATAAAGCGTTAAAGCTGCAGTCCGTAACTGCGCTCTAGCGGTTAATAAACAGAACTGCGTGCGTCTTGCGGAAGAACATTGTAAGCCGGAGCTACTTCTTCTCTGTTGATGTCTATGGCGAATCACGCACGTACTGGGCTACTCCGCAGCGGGACCTACCCGAACCAGTCTAAAATAGTCCGAATATAAACACTTATTATAGGTGTACCGTAGTGATTCAGGACAAGCCAAAAACACGGTTTGGAAAATGGATTCATGGAGTACTCGATTATATATAAATTTTGTAAGTTTTGCAGCATGAAGCGATCAGCGAGCCTCGGACGTCACAGTCAGGCGACGGAAGTTGAGTCGCTGAGAGTCGCATCGGCAGAAATGGCTGGTTTGATGAAGAAGGTACGTGCGGAGGTCATGAAAATATATTATTAATAAAAACTATTCATATTCACCCGTGAATGAAGCTTGTTTCTAAATACTGGAGCGTTTGAATATCGCCGCCTTTTCTGTACAGCGTTCGCATGTGTTTAAATGCGCGGGTCGTGCTTTGTTTTGGTCGATTGTGATGATGGCTGCTGTAGTGAAACCTGAATTATCGCCATCCTACAGAAAATAGGGTTTGTAATAATACGAGGGATTCGTTTGGTAGTTTCATGTCTTTTTGGAGCTGTAAATGTCATGTATGGGAAATCAAGTTGTGCATTTGATACTTCAAAGTGAGATTTATATGAATATTATTAATGGTAAATGTTGTATTAATGGTTAAATGCTGTTATGCATACGTGGTTCATTAAAGAGTAACGTTCATGCATGGCAATATGCATCTTTTGATCGTCTTATTTTTAGACCACAGGCTTGGTTGGCCTTGCTGTCATCCACAATCCACACGAGGTGAGTGTTTTGGTTTATTTTGATCAATTCTAATTTTTGCTTGCATATATTATTTTACTTGCATATACAATCTAGGTGTTTTGTTTGTTGCAAAGTTGTGTTTTAAGATAGAGTACTTGTACATATATTGAATTGTGGCTTTCTTTCCCAAAGCGTCTTCGGATTCTGTACACAAAGATCCTGGGCTCTCTACAAGCTATGCCTCAGGATGCTGCCTACAGGAAATACACTGAGCAACTGATCAACCAGAGGTTCAACCACGTCAAAGCTGTGAGAAATTTCAAATAGACTTTTTGAGATTGAGGTTTAATTATTAAAGGGGTCATATGATGCTTTTTTAAAGATCATTATTTTGTGTATTTGGTGTAACAGAATATGTTGACATGCTTTAATGTTCAAAAAACACATTATTTTTCAAATACTGTCCATTATTGTAGGTCCTCTATGCCCCGCCTCTCTCAAACGCTTCGTTTTCTACAAAGTCCCGCCTTCCGACAAGCGCAGTCTGCTCTGATTGGCCAGCTGACCCAGTGCATTGTGATTGGCCGAACACCGCAAGCACTCGGCGGAAATGTAACGCCCCTTACCATAATCGCGAGCTTCATCTTTCAAAATAAATGTAAAGACAGAGCCCTAAAGGGGAACAGAGTCACGTGACAGACACAGTGATGAAGCTGGTATGTGTGCAGTACACAAGCCACGGTTAAGACAGCTGACTCCACTGTGATGTGACCCTCTCCCTCTCTCTCTCTCTCTCTCTCACACTCACTCACTCACTCACTCGCGCACACATGCACATGATGCGCAAAACTCCGCATTTGAACAGTCAATAGCAAATACTTAAACTAATAACAAAACAGTAGCTGATTCAGAAGCGCCAGATTGTCATAGCAAAGTCAGAATGACCTCCTCTCCTAGGCTCACGAAACGGTCGTCCATAAAATGCATTGCTGTTCTGTTGTAAGTGATCTTAAAGATTCCTAAATGCATCTACTTTCAGAAGGCCAAATAAAGTGCTTTTGCTTTCGCCTAGAAACACACAGCGTCTCTCTGACATGCTGCTTCAACACTAACTGCGGTTACTGAAACCACGCCTTCTTTCTTTGCGTGCACATTTGGGTGCATTATGCAAATATTTCCACATAGTGAGGTAGATATGTGGGGGCGTGTTAGAACGAGCCTTTTTAGGGGGGCGTGGCAGAGTCTTAACTTTGATGAAGAATATCTCTTTGGTTTTGAGACTTTAGTCTTTGCAACTTCAGGGAGCTTATCTATGCACAATCAGCTTGTAACACTCCAAAGAGAAAGGAAAACTTGAAATCGCATCATATGACCCCTTTAAAACGCATATTGATATAAGAGTCCTGATTTCTATACGTGTCACTTTTGTGCTATAAAGGAGCCAGATGTAGAAAAGCTTGAAAAAAAAATCAACTGTGGACAGATTGAGGAGGTTATTGCACAGGTGAGAAGATGCAATAATGAAAGATCTCAAAGCCTCATTTACGAGAACGGAGTTAATAGAGAGTGAATACAGTGTGCTGTACCTCAGTCTGTCTGGTGTGTCTGCAGGCTGAGACTGAGCTGGCTTTGTCCAGGAAGATGACCGAATGGAAACCGTGGGAACCTCTCTTAGAGGAAGCACCGGCGAACCAGTGGAAATGGCCCATCTGAAGTCCTCATGATATTCATGATCATATATTATGTTTATATTAAATACTGAATAAATAAACACGGTCCGTTTAAGTTGTGCATTTTCTTTTTTACAGCTGTTTGGCATAGATTGAGCTGAAAATGAAACTTACTATGAACTCATAATTTCCAGTACATGTAATAAAAAATTATGAGATCATATGATATAGGAAATATTACAGAATTAACCATTCTTTCAATTTTGACCAGGCAATAAGAGGGAACATTTACTCCAATGATGGACCTTTAAACTTATTTAGAGTAAAATATATATGTGCATATTATAAAGCCAGTTTTAATTTGGAGTTGTAGCCTTGTGCTGAATGAGACTGAGGCCCAGCTCAAGGTCCAATAAAAACTAAAAATGACCAAAAATAAACATCAATATCAATCAATTGCTAGCTGAATAACATACACAAAAAAATGCAATACATTTTTTTTGTTGTTGCATTTTTATGAATTTGGGCTATATAGCGTGCCTAGGGGCTTAAATTAACATTAATATTTTGACGTAAAATTATTTGAATCTCTCAAATATTATCTTGAAAGGTCATCAAATCTGAATGTATAATACATTACTCATCAAATTAATCAATTTTAATAATCATTTTAAGCTAAATAACGTAAATCAATTACATAATTAGAGCAAAATATTTAGCTTTTACATTTTTATGCTTTTGGTTAGTAGACGTGCCTACAGACATTGACTAACATTAATATTTTATGTTAAAAATTATATGCAGTCTCAAATAATATCTTGAAAGGTCAAAATCGAAATGTATAATATCTATACAAAAATTATGAAACCCATCAAAATAACCAATGAATAGATAACTATCAATTCCGTAAAAAGGGGGGAAACAATTAGAGCAAAATACTCATGTTGGTTTTTATGCTTTCGGTTTGTAGACGTGCCTACAGACTTCAATTAACACGAATATTTTATGTTAAAAATTATTACATGTAGTCTCTCAATATCACTTTTTTATAAGAATTAATTCATAAAAATAATAAAGTTTAGTTTGTCACACTGCAACACTTTTGAACAAAATATTTCAATTCACCCACTTTACATTTTGTGGTTAGCAATTTGGAAGCTCAATGGAAGAAAGTACAATGTTAAGAAATGACAAAACACTCGCAAATGTAGAAGAAATGATGTGCATGTAAAACCCTGTTTGATTTTTTTATTGTGCTTGCTTTTTTGTATCCAAGTACGTTCTGTGTTAATGCTTGACAAAAGGCCTAAATGATTAGTTTAAATAAAAGCTGATAAATATGGAGATATAGAACTGAATGGTGCTTATGAAACGACACAGATTCACTGCTGATTTAAATCTAGAAGGATGCGGTACGTATTACAAATGAGAAATGTATGAAAAAATGTGTTACGACATATCAACTAGGTTAATAAAGAAATTTCTCTACTATAAAAAAACCGAAACATTCAATTTCTACAATAACAAACATAGTAAAAGAAAAGAAGCGCTAGTCATATAAATGTATTTTGGTCTGTTGGTGTGGCCGATGGTTTTATATATTAGAACCACACCTCTCTTTTCTGAACTATGAGACTACGTTCAAGAATGCTTTTATATCTAAGATTTTTTACCCCAAAATAGATAGCATATGAAATCTTCTGCCCTGCTACTTATAAATATTTCTTCAACAGTTATGTCCGACTAAAATCTAAGACATCACCAGCAATACAGCAGTCACTGCTTTTCCAAAGAGTAGAAATGTTGGCATTAATTACAACAGTAATATTATATCAAAGCATTTTAAAGTACAAAGGCACAATAACAGACCAAATTATAGTATATCCTGTACCCACGTAGTCCATGTAGAGACTTTAGGAGGGTTTCAAAAACTACTTTCTCTTGATTCAGTGTACATTTCCTAGGGTGAAGGGTGACAGTGGTCTGTATATCTACATGAGAGACTCCAGGCTTTCCGAGGGGTTGGCAGGAACCGTGCCGTTGTTTTCCGAGTAGTGAAGAGCTCTCTCGTCCTCCTTGGTGCTCACCAAACTCAGGATCGCTTTGTAGAGGAACTGATACTGATCCTGCACACACAGGAAGATGTTAAAGGAATAGTTCACCCAAAAATTAGAATTTACTGAACATTTCTCACCCTCGCTCCATCTAAGATGTAGATCCTCGTCGGAACAGATTCTGAGAAATTTAGCATTAGATAACTTGGATCCTTTGCAGCGAATGGGTGCCGTCAGAATGGGAGTCCAAACCGCTTACAAACACGCAGCTTTTCTCTTCATAAGATTTTAACTGATGGACTGGAGTGGTGTGGATTATATGTTTTTATCAGCTGTTTGGACTCTCATTCTGACGGCACCCATTCACTCCAGAGGATCCATTGGTGAGCAAGTGATGCAATGCTACATTTCTCCAAATCTGTTCTGATGAAGAAACAAACTCATCTACATTTTCAGCACATTTTCATTTGTGAGTGGGACTATTCCTTTAACCATGCACATTTTATAATTCATATCTTATCAAGGTATACTACAGTCATCGTACAATATCGTTGAAGACTCCCGGCCTCATGAGGTTCATCATTCTGGCGGTCTGATAAACGTTCACACTGTTCTCCTCTTCCAGCTGGTTAACCAGGGTGGTCAGTGAACAAAGTAAAGCAGCACTCGTCCCTGCAGACCTGCACAGAAACAGTGAGGAGTGACCCTCTCCTCTCTATATCAGTCACTGATGATTTTTGTAAATGCCATGAGACTCTACCCATCATGGATGATGGCGGGTCCCTCTCGACGCGAGCTCTCTTCTCTGATGATGTTGATGAGCTGAAAGGAGTTGCTGATGGGGCTGTCAGGGTTCGGCCAGCGAGGGCTCTGGTACTGCCGTACCTCCAGCACATAGTCATCCTGTCACACAGCCACGCAAAACAAACTGTTGCTCCGCAGACTGAAATGCTTCAGAGATGCAATGTCCAGTACAAAGACGACTTTCAGAAATGTTAAATGTGAAAATTTTAAATTTGCTTTGTTTTTAATGTCACAAAAACATCAAAATCAACAAAAATATATACTTTTACATAAAAAATGTAAAGCCTATCTTAGTGCCACTAACAAGCTTTTCTGTTTATTTTACATTTACATATTAAATGACATTATACATTATTACACAGTGATATTTTAATACCGGTAATACTAATTATTATGAATTTATAATATTCTAATTTAATAATATTATAAAGAATAGTTATAACAATATTATAAATTAATATTTTACAGTATTATAAATTGCCATTGCTGTAATGTGTCCAGATGTTTTAAATTTCACATAATTTTCCAAGTGATTCTCATTAGTATTTCATTATTGTGACATAGTAAAAAATTACTGTAATTAAAAATTTCTATTTAAACTAAAGGCAGTACAACTACTACTACTATTTATTTATTTTGACTGATTATTTTACATTTACATATTAAATAATATAACTTTGAACATTAATAGTATTGTAAATAATAATTATAAATAACATACATTTTTTTTACAATATTATAAATTGTCATGTGTACTGTAATGTGTCAAGACGTTCTTGAGCATTCTTGAACGTACAGTGATTCACATTACTGTAATATAGTAAAAACTACTGTAATCAAATATTTTTATTTAAAATAAAGGCAGTGCAACACCCACTGCCATTTATTTATTTACTTTCCTGTATTGAGTTGTAAAATACGTTTAATTATCATGAAAATAATATCACAATAAAAATAATATCAGAATGAAAAAAAATTCAAACGGCACTAAAATATGTCAATACATAAATTTTTATGCTCTATGCATAAATGTTCTTGACAGGTTTTGTGAGGTTTACCCAGAGCAGCTGCAAATACTGAGTTCTGGCTACATAAATGAAATCAGTTTTATTCACCTTCAGGGCCTCCAAAATGAAGTCCTGTACCACGAGTGACTCCTCATTGGTCAGGCACAGTTTGTCCTCACCCCTGAAGGTCACAGTGAAGGTCTCGCAGCTGATTGGCTGATCTTTAGTGGGCCAGTACACACACTCTCCCTCTCTGCTCTGTGACGGTCAGAAACGACAGGCCTCAGTTATTACATACGGATGTGTGCAGAAGTTTAAAGGTGTTTGTATGCGTGTGACTCACGGCGCTCTGTGTATCTGGCAGAGAAACTATGATCTGTGCATTGTGATCCCAGATCATCCTCCAAAAGTCCTGTATGGTGTTTGGCAGAGGATTCTGGGTAACGATGAACTCGCTGCTCTGATAGTACCCCTGTAAAGGCCACAGACTCGTCGAATCACACCATATTACATACAGGAATCTAAACAGGAGCATCAAGAACAAGAGTCTCACCATTAAATAAGAGGCATTGATGTAGTCTGATGATTCTCCAGGTCCTGTAGACAGACTGACCCTTGACCTCTCCACTGAAGCACAGATGGAGCACATGTGAGGATAAAGATCAGCTACACTTTAAAAAGATCTACAATATATTCTGAATATAATTCTTGGAAGAAAACAGGTTACATTTGATATATTATTAATATGATATTTTAATAAATAATATAAATATTTATGATAAATACAATATTGATGAATATGTATAAACATTTGAATGTATATAAATAAAAAAATAACTGAATTTAATTGTTTAAAGAAAAACAGGTTACCTTTTCACTTTTTAATACATTTATGTATGCATATAAATAAATATGATGTATTAATAAATATTTCTAATTTATATTTAACATATTTATGCATATTAATTATATTTCAAATAAATAAAAATAATAAATTATTTAGGAATTAAAAACAGGTTACCCTTTCACTATATATATATAACGTATTTTTATTTTTTTATTGCACACACTCACCAGACATAAGACAAGACGCCCTGTGTTTAGATGCGTTGCACTCCTTCAAAGCCACTGTGTAATCGCTCTGTTTCGCACAGCTCTGACTGACCAGCTACAGGAACAAAAGGAAAGATCAATGAATTGCTCAGCGTAATAGTGATTAAGGTGAAATCACAAACCCAAGGGTCTCACCTTAAACTGTTTCTCCAGGCGGGTCTTTCCTGTAGGTCCCGGTGTGAGGAGATCAGACACATACGTGTGAATGTGACTGGCGGAGACCAGGGTCTCTTTACTCCTGATGGCCTCCACTAGAGCATCATGGATGAAGACGTACTGCTCCTGCTCGCACACACACACACAAGTATGATGGATATTTCATGCTGCGTGTGACGTGACATAACCTAAGAAGGTATGGTTTGAAATAATATATGTTGCCGAACCTCAGTCTGCACCAGGTAATTCCTCTGGGTACGAATGTGTTTGAGGAATCCCATGATGTTCACTGTACTTTCCTCCTTTATCTGCTTCAACATGCTGTCGATCACAATGTAGGTTCCTGTTCTTCCCACACCGGCACTGCAAATCACACATTCAAACATCTTGATGTCCGTCACCGACTGTTATCAACTCTTACTTCTATTCAAGTCAGTCTTTATTTATAAAGTGCTATATATACACTACTATTTCAGCAGTAAAGCAGCTCAAAAATAAGAATAGTGCCCTTATTCAACTCAATTTGATTCAGTGTTGATAAAAACTAGTTTTTCTAACTTTTTTTCTCAGAATTCTAAATTAAAAACTCGCAATTAATTTTTTTTCTCTTTTATTCCATTGCAGAAACAAGCTTCCATAAATAAGTGTCAATGTTCCAGAGTTCATCAGTTATGAAACTAAGTTGAATCAGCTATAAGCAGCCAGTTTGACAGAAGACAATATTGTCATTTTCCAGCTCAATGTAGCAGTTCTCATCCAATAGTGCCAGTGCAGTGACCATACTAACTTCACCATAATAATTTGATGCTTAATAAGTTAACACTGATGTCTACCTGCAGTGCACCACCACAGGCCCCATATCAGCCGTCCTGGCCTGCGAGGACGCCCGCACAAACGACAGCAGGGGCAGAGTGTATTCTGGGACGCCCATGTCGGGCCACTGAGTGTAATGAAAATGAAGCACCGTCCTCTCCTGACTGCGACCCTTCTGTGAGCCCTGACGGGCGAAAAGACAGCGAGAAGTGTCTAAGAACATTTTGCTAACATTCCCATTATTAACACATTATTACTGAATGTTCTCTGAACATTCAAAACGTCAAGTTTTTTTAAATGTTTTAAAAACTTTGTTTTGATTAGAAACATTAAAGGAACATTCCGTTCTCTGAACATTCTGAAATTAGTGACATTAAAAAAAACGTTAGATGAACATCCAACTAAACCATTTCAGAAATAAAACTTTCCATAAACGATGCATAAATAACTTTTTTTTATGCTAATGTTTTCAGAATAATAGTTTGCTCATAACTTTGAGATACCTTTGCCAGAACCTTGTTAGCTGGAAATATCCTGAAGGGTTTCTGGTGACGTATGTCGTAGTTACTGACCTTCTTGACGTTAACGTTCCTCAAGGTGATCGTCCTCTGTGTGTAGTAGGCAAGAGTTTTGGTGCTCTTCAGCGTGACTAGGAAGCATCCATAGTCTTCCTGATTCTCCAAGGGCCAATACTGATCACATTTTCTCTGTTTGATTCACACACACCATGTATATATGGTTAGGAATCTAACCAGACCATGATTAGTTGTTTTATATTTGCCTTTATTTCATTACACTCTCAAAAATAAAGGTTCTTTTTTGGCATTGATGGTTCCATGAAAAAGCTTTAACATCCATGGAACCTTTCAATGTTCTTTATAGTGGGGAAAAAATGGTTCTTTTAAAAACTGTTCACTGAAAGGTTGTTTGGGAACCAAAATGGTTCTTCTATGGGATCACTGCAAAAAAAAACTTTTGGAAGCTTTATTTTTAAAGATCTAATCTAAGAGTGATAACGGCATTACCCGGCCCTTCTCCACCAGGTTAGTGATCATGACAATCACACCCACGTTCTGCTCCCATATCATCCTCCAGAAGTCTTCCAGACTGCCCTTCAGCGGACCCTGGGCGGCTATATATGCTTTCGGCTGATTGTAGCCCTAAAGAGAATCATTACAATCAGACCATGTTAATTTCTACCAACACTCGTGACAAACCAATAAATAAACCAAATATCTGCTCATTCTGAGACCGCATCGGCTGAGAACCGCATCCACTTTACTGGCTAAAAGAAGTGTCACCTTATACTTATGTTCAGTGTTGGGGAAAGTTACTTTTAAAAGTAAATGCATAACAATATTGCGTTACTCCATAAAAAAGTAATTAATTAGGTTACTTAGCTACTTTTTATGGAAAGTAATGCGTTACGTTACTTTTGCGTTACTTTTTAAATCTGGACAGGGCTTGCTTGTTTGTTTTTAAAATAAAAAAGTTCTATTTTTGGCAAATATAAAAGCTTTTTCACACCAATGAATAAGCCTCAGGCTGAAGGGAAAGTACATTTACGTCCGTACAGTAGAATGCAGAAGAAGACATTTCAACACACTTCAGCAATAAAAAAATACAATAATTTGTGCTTATTAGTATGGTTGAACTGGATCATCGAAGGTCAGAAGCAAAGACATTGGTTAATAAAATGAGATTAAATACATGAAGGATATTTGTGTTGTTTAACATTTAATTATGGCAGGTTTGCGTCATATTCATTTTGAGGAATACTGAATCTGTGGGGTTTTTTTTTTTTGTGAGTGAGATGAATTAATGCATATTCATATTTATTTTAGAAATACAGTAACATCTTCTGATTTCTCAACATGAGGACAGGACAGCTGTCAATCAAAAATTGGGGAAACAAGTAACTTGCGTTACTTATTTGAAAAAGTAACTCCGATATTCTCTTGTAAATTATAAAGTAATGTGTTACTTTACTAGTTACTTTAAAAAAGTAATCTGATTACGTAACTCGGGTTACTTGTAATGCGTTACCCCCCAACACTGCTTATGTTTCTTTCTCTTTTTTTCTGTGTGTGTGTGTGTGTGAATAAATTACAATTTAACATATATTCACATAGAAAACATTTCCTGTATTGAGTTGTAAAATGTTTAATTATCATAAAAATAACATCACAATGAAAAAAAAATCAAATGACACTAAAATATGTCAATAAATTCATTTTTATGCAGTATATATATATATATATATATTCTGTAAATATATATAATCCTGTTGATTGTGGGGTGAAATATTACCCAAGCATGTTCTTGACAGGTTTTGTGAGATTCACCCTGAGCAGCTGCAAATACTAAGTTCTGGCTTTATAAATGAAATAAGTTTTATTCACCTTCAGGGCCTCCAAAATGAAGTCCTGTACCACGAGTGACTCCTCATTGGTCAGGCACAGTTTGTCCTCACCCCTGAAGGTCACAGTGAAGGTCTCGCAGCTGATTGGCTGATCTTTAGTGGGCCAGTACACACACTCTCCCTCTCTGCTCTGTGACGGTCAGAAACGACAGGCCTCAGTTATTACATACGGATGTGTGCAGAAGTTTAAAGGTGTTTGTATGCGTGTGACTCACGGCGCTCTGTGTATCTGGCAGAGAAACTATGATCTGTGCATTGTGATCCCAGATCATCCTCCAAAAGTCCTGTATGGTGTTTGGCAGAGGATTCTGGGTAACGATGAACTCGCTGCTCTGATGGTACCCCTGTAAAGGCCACAGACTCGTCGAATCACACCATATTACATACAGGAATCTAAACAGGAGCATCAAGAACAAGAGTCTCACCATTAAATAAGAGGCATTGATGTAGTCTGATGATTCTCCAGGTCCTGTAGACAGACTGACCCTTGACCTCTCCACTGAAGCACAGATGGAGCACATGTGAGGATAAAGATCAGCTACACTTTAAAAAGATCTACAATATATTCTGAATATAATTCTTGGAAGAAAACAGGTTACATTTGATATATTATTAATATGATATTTTAATAAATAATATAAATATTTATGATAAATACAATATTGATGAATATGTATAAACATTTGAATGTATATAAATAAAAAAATAACTGAATTTAATTGTTTAAAGAAAAACAGGTTACCTTTTCACTTTTTAATACATTTATGTATGCATATAAATAAATATGATGTATTAATAAATATTTCTAATTTATATTTAACATATTTATGCATATTAATTATATTTCAAATAAATAAAAATAATAAATTATTTAGGAAATAAAAACAGGTTACCCTTTCACTATATATATATAACGTATTTTTATTTTTTTATTGCACACACTCACCAGACATAAGACAAGACGCCCTGTGTTTAGATGCGTTGCACTCCTTCAAAGCCACTGTGTAATCGCTCTGTTTCGCACAGCTCTGACTGACCAGCTACAGGAACAAAAGGAAAGATCAATGAATTGCTCAGCGTAATAGTGATTAAGGTGAAATCACAAACCCTAGGGTCTCACCTTAAACTGTTTCTCCAGGCGGGTCTTTCCTGTAGGTCCTGGTGTGAGGAGATCAGACACGTATGTGTGAATGTGACTGGATGAGACCAGAGTCTCTTTACTCCTGATGGCCTCCACTAGAGCATCATGGATGAAGACGTACTGCTCCTGCTCGCACACACACACACAAGTATGATGGATATTTCATGCTGCGTGTGACGTGACATAACCTAAGAAGGTATGGTTTGAAATAATATATGTTGCCGAACCTCAGTCTGCACCAGGTAATTCCTCTGGGTACGAATGTGTTTGAGGAATCCCATGATGTTCACTGTACTTTCCTCCTTTATCTGCTTCAACATGCTGTCGATCACAATGTAGGTTCCTGTTCTTCCCACACCGGCACTGCAAATCACACATTCAAACATCTTGATGTCCGTCACCGACTGTTATCAACTCTTACTTCTATTCAAGTCAGTCTTTATTTATAAAGTGCTATATATACACTACTATTTCAGCAGTAAAGCAGCTCAAAAATAAGAATAGTGCCCTTATTCAACTCAATTTGATTCAGTGTTGATAAAAACTAGTTTTTCTAACTTTTTTTCTCAGAATTCTAAATTAAAAACTCGCAATTAATTTTTTTTCTCTTTTATTCCATTGCAGAAACAAGCTTCCATAAATAAGTGTCAATGTTCCAGAGTTCATCAGTTATGAAACTAAGTTGAATCAGCTATAAGCAGCCAGTTTGACAGAAGACAATATTGTCATTTTCCAGCTCAATGTAGCAGTTCTCATCCAATAGTGCCAGTGCAGTGACCATACTAACTTCACCATAATAATTTGATGCTTAATAAGTTAACACTGATGTCTACCTGCAGTGCACCACCACAGGCCCCATATCAGCCGTCCTGGCCTGCGAGGACGCCCGCACAAACGACAGCAGGGGCAGAGTGTATTCTGGGACGCCCATGTCGGGCCACTGAGTGTAATGAAAATGAAGCACCGTCCTCTCCTGACTGCGACCCTTCTGTGAGCCCTGACGGGCGAAAAGACAGCGAGAAGTGTCTAAGAACATTTTGCTAACATTCCCATTATTAACACATTATTACTGAATGTTCTCTGAACATTCAAAACGTCAAGTTTTTTTAAATGTTTTAAAAACTTTGTTTTGATTAGAAACATTAAAGGAACATTCCGTTCTCTGAACATTCTGAAATTAGTGACATTAAAAAAAACGTTAGATGAACATCCAACTAAACCATTTCAGAAATAAAACTTTCCATAAACGATGCATAAATAACTTTTTTTTATGCTAATGTTTTCAGAATAATAGTTTGCTCATAACTTTGAGATACCTTTGCCAGAACCTTGTTAGCTGGAAATATCCTGAAGGGTTTCTGGTGACGTATGTCGTAGTTACTGACCTTCTTGACGTTAACGTTCCTCAAGGTGATCGTCCTCTGTGTGTAGTAGGCAAGAGTTTTGGTGCTCTTCAGCGTGACTAGGAAGCATCCATAGTCTTCCTGATTCTCCAAGGGCCAATACTGATCACATTTTCTCTGTTTGATTCACACACACCATGTATATATGGTTAGGAATCTAACCAGACCATGATTAGTTGTTTTATATTTGCCTTTATTTCATTACACTCTCAAAAATAAAGGTTCTTTTTTGGCATTGATGGTTCCATGAAAAAGCTTTAACATCCATGGAACCTTTCAATGTTCTTTATAGTGGGAAAAAAATGGTTCTTTTAAAAACTGTTCACTGAAAGGTTGTTTGGGAACCAAAATGGTTCTTCTATGGGATCACTGCAAAAAAAAACTTTTGGAAGCTTTATTTTTAAAGATCTAATCTAAGAGTGATAACGGCATTACCCGGCCCTTCTCCACCAGGTTAGTGATCATGACAATCACACCCACGTTCTGCTCCCATATCATCCTCCAGAAGTCTTCCAGACTGCCCTTCAGCGGACCCTGGGCGGCTATATATGCTTTCGGCTGATTGTAGCCCTAAAGAGAATCATTACAATCAGACCATGTTAATTTCTACCAACACTCGTGACAAACCAATAAATAAACCAAATATCTGCTCATTCTGAGACCGCATCGGCTGAGAACCGCATCCACTTTACTGGCTAAAAGAAGTGTCACCTTATACTTATGTTCAGTGTTGGGGAAAGTTACTTTTAAAAGTAAATGCATAACAATATTGCGTTACTCCATAAAAAAGTAATTAATTAGGTTACTTAGCTACTTTTTATGGAAAGTAATGCGTTACGTTACTTTTGCGTTACTTTTTAAATCTGGACAGGGCTTGCTTGTTTGTTTTTAAAATAAAAAAGTTCTATTTTTGGCAAATATAAAAGCTTTTTCACACCAATGAATAAGCCTCAGGCTGAAGGGAAAGTACATTTTTTACGTCCGTACAGTAGAATGCAGAAGAAGACATTTCAACACACTTCAGCAATAAAAAAATACAATAATTTGTGCTTATTAGTATGGTTGAACTGGATCATCGAAGGTCAGAAGCAAAGACATTGGTTAATAAAATGAGATTAAATACATGAAGGATATTTGTGTTGTTTAACATTTAATTATGGCAGGTTTGCGTCATATTCATTTTGAGGAATACTGAATCTGTGGGGTTTTTTTTTTTTGTGAGTGAGATGAATTAATGCATATTCATATTTATTTTAGAAATACAGTAACATCTTCTGATTTCTCAACATGAGGACAGGACAGCTGTCAATCAAAAATTGGGGAAACAAGTAACTTGCGTTACTTATTTGAAAAAGTAACTCCGATATTCTCTTGTAAATTATAAAGTAATGTGTTACTTTACTAGTTACTTTAAAAAAGTAATCTGATTACGTAACTCGGGTTACTTGTAATGCGTTACCCCCCAACACTGCTTATGTTTCTTTCTCTTTTTTTCTGTGTGTGTGTGTGTGTGAATAAATTACAATTTAACATATATTCACATAGAAAACAGTTATTTTAAATTGTAATAATATTTCACTATATTACTTATTTTGCTGTATTTTTGATCAAATAAATGCAGCCTCGGTGAGCAGAAGAGACTTTAAAACATTAAAATCTTACCGACCCCAAACGTTTGAATTATAGTGTATATACAGTATATTGGCGTGGTAACATATTGCAAAAACATTTTCATCATTACAGCATTTAAAATTGAGTGTAGAATACTTACATTCACATAGTTGGCATTAATGTAGTCCCCGGACTTCACCCTGATTTAAAATGAAAATGGCCTTAAGACAAATCTAATGTTTTGCCTTAAACACACTGAAAGGAACGTTCCTGGTGAATAACACACACACACACACACACACACACACACACACAATCTGTGTCATATTTTACCCCAAAATAAGAAATTTTGATTATAAAAAATTATAAAAAAAATGAATCAAATTTCCTGACATTTAAGCACATAATAATAATTGTTATTATTATTATTCATTCCAGTACATTGTATAGAGTGTAAAGTTTTTTTTATTATTTATATATAAATTCAGTAAAACAAATACTACATAATAATAATTGATATAATAATAATAATAATTATTATTATTATTATTACAGTACATTATAACTAGACAGTTGTTTTTTAAATAATAATAAATAAATTCAGTAAAACAAACTATTGTTTTTCATGCTTATTTAAGGCACATTTGCAAAGTACAATTATAACATGTTATTATTAATAATACATATAATGTTTTTCATTATGGTAATAATACAAGATTATTAATATAGATTATTAATATAGATCTTTTCCTCATTCTTGTTATTGTAAATGTGCTTAACTGTAAAGGAAAAACTTTTCTTTAAAATAAAAAATATTATATATATTATTAGGTTTAGTTTGTTGTAAAATATGACATTTCTTGATATTTTTGTGAGTTTTTCCAGTTTTTGTTTACCAGGGCCTTCGAGAGGCATGTCCACAATAACCTGGTCACTCATTTTTCCAGTCAAGCCATTGGTGCACAGCGCCACCACCTGGACAACATAGCTACTGTTCGCCAGCAGATGATGGATAATGGCCCCCTGGAAAAACAAGATAATACTATACCATAACACCTGTTTCTAACCATCAGGACTAGTGTAACCTTGAACTATCAGCTATCAGTGAAATATCCCTACTGTACTTCACTCAACACAGTTATATTAATCATGGCTCAAGTGGATGGTCTAAAAGCGCTCACCACATCCTGGTCTCCGTCTGTGAGATACTGTTGTTTTGGCGGGTCTTTGCCCTGCAGTCTCTGGTAAGTGACAGAGTAGCGCTCAATGGTGGTGTCATAGACGGCCCGCGGCCTTTCCCACGTCACCACCATACCAGTGTAGTTCTGAGAGTCGGCCTGCAAGTTCTGCGGTTCAGAGCTGCACACTAAACACAGAAAGAGCTTCACATTACTGTTAAAACTGAGTTAGTCTGTGCAGTTTCATTACAATAATAGAATCTTTAAAAATTTATAATATAAAAAGTAATAAACAAATACAATTCATAAACATTATAGTTGCATTTTGTAAAATCAAAAAAAATATATATAATATAATATTATTTAATAATATTAAATAAGAAAAATTATAAAAACATTTTTTAAATGAATATAAAATATACACAAATGTTTTACATTTTATAAATTAAAAAAATAATGATATTTTTAAAAAGTATTTATATACATTTTATTTATTTAATAAAACATAAAAATATTAAGATGATGCATGTTGTAAAAACTGATTAAAGATTATAGTTACATTTTGACAAAATATTTTCAAAATAATATTAAATCAAAATAAAATCTATACAAATTTTCATTTTTTTCATAAAATATAAATAGGATCACTTAAAATATAATCAATAAACATAAAATATTCTGATTAAAGATTATAGTTACATTTTGACAAAATATTTTCAAAATAATATTAAATCAAAATAAAATCTATACAAATTTTCATTTTTTCATAAAATATAAATAGGATCACTTAAAATATAATCAATAAAGGTAAAATATTTAAAGGTAAATAATTTAATAAAAATGTATTAAAAATTATAGATACATTTTTGACAAAATGTTTTCAAAATAATATAAAATGAAATAAAAAACTAATTTTTTTCATAAAACATAAATAGGATCACTGAAAATATAATCAATAAACATAAAATATTTAAAGAACATTAAAAAAATATTAAATTCTTTAAAAAGTATAGCTACATTTAGTTTTTTTTATTTATTTAATTAAAAAATTGAGTCATTTTTACCCTAATTTCTTGGAGGGAAAGCAAGATTAAGCAATAAGATACTAGACAGTTTGTTATATTGTGAATATTCAGATGGAGAGCCTGAGAGAATATTGTTATTGCAAAACAGTTTGTTCTAATAAGGAGCTGTAACTTCAGTCGAATAGCAATAACTTACAAACCTGCTTCTAAATCAACTCTGTTTGAAACGGAATTGGTGCGTTTGTTTTCTTGGGAATATGCCAAAGTGGGGTTACCTAGCAACACACAATCGCTGCAGAGTTTTAAAAAGCGCAGCGCATGTGTGTCCACGGTCAGAGGAGGAGGAGACG